CAAAGACTCCTCATCCTGTCGTCTCGGGCCCTCTTTTCTCATTCCTGTTTTGGTGTTGTATCTTAGTATCCGGTGGCTTCTAAACCCGCGCAACCTTCCTCAGCTTCAACCTCGGTCATAATTGATTTCGATCCTTCTCCATCCTTCCCCCCAATCTCAAACCTCTTGGCCTCTCATATACCAACGACCCTCCCATCCTGCGGCCCGCCCAATTGTTATCCCTGCTCACACGTTGTGTCCGTTGCGCAGTACTCTTTAGGTATAGCTTCGAGTATCCTTTCCCCACCTGGAGTTCGTTTCCTGGTTTACCGAGGTTTTTGGAGGGGGAACAAGGGGGGTTGTTTTGGAGCGTGCCACCAAACTTGCCCCTCCTTTGGCGAAGACTTTCCATGGGGATTGATCTCCGACATTTCTGGCGCGCGTGGTGAAAGAGAACTCGGTTCTGAGGTCCCAAGGGGAAAGCACAGCTCAGCTTTACGAGCATCTGATATGCTGGGGACCTCTTTCCGATTACCTTATAAAAAGAGTTGCAGAGTCCCCCCGCGCTGACTCGAGCGAGTCGTACTTAACCGTGTGACCCTTTACTTCTCGTCCTGATACACATTCCCTTTCCCAGTTTTCCTGATCCCTCTCGAATACTGAATACTCCATTCTAGCTCTTTTGTTCCCAAGATGGCAGACTACACTAACCTTCCAGACTTCGACTCCCTCCCCAAGGTCGAGGGCATGCCCCATGGGTGTGCATGGGGCCTCTTCGACAAGGACGGCAAGAAGGACCATCTTGGTTGCATAAACCTCTTGACCCCGAAAGTCGTACAGGAGGCCTTCAAGGAGGCTCGTGACGGTGTCTCGGTATCCCTCAACTGGCCCATTGGCGCCATTCAGAAGCCGGGCTTCGGACGCAAGGGCTTGGTGCACAAGGTCTTCTCTTTCAAAGACAGCCCTCTTCACCTCTCGGGGTTCGATGATGAGGTCGAGTTCAATACGCAATGCTCTTCGCAATGGGACAGTCTGGTGCATTTCAGCCATCAACCCACCGGCCTCGGCTACAATGGCGCCGATCTGCAGAAGGAGCAGCTGATTCAAGATTTCGGCCACGTCGACCTTGAGAAGGCATTTCCCACGTTAAACCACTGGCACGACCGTGGCGGCTTGGTGGGACGGGGAGTCCTCCTCGACTATCGTGCCTACGCTGAAGCCAAGGGCATCAAGTATAGCTGCTTTGAAGCGCACGCTATCTCGGTGCAGGATCTCGAGGCCGTGGCCGCTCACCAGGGCACGAAATTCAAGCACGGGGATATCTTGATTGTTCGCTCCGGCTTCACAGAAGACCTAGGGGCTGCTAGTGCCGAGGAGCAGGAACGCATGCTAGGCACTCACAAGTCAGTCGGCGTCAAAGGCTGCAAAGAGTCGGCCAAGTGGGTATGGAATCACCACTTTGCTGCTGTTGCGGGAGACGCGATTGCGTTTGAGGTGCTCCCTCCTACGCTCGAGGACGAAGGCAACCGGGTGGGCACGACTGCAGACCTTGGTAAGCTCCTTTTCCCTTTGTCTTCTCTCGCTATACCACTGGGTCAAAGTTGACGCAGTGGGACGCTCTGTCTCATTTGCCCTTGGTTCAATTCGCCTACGAAGTCTGCTTTTTGGCTAACAACCCCTTGCGCTCTCCAGTTCTCCATCAATACTTCCTCTCTCTCTTCGGCCTCAACATCGGCGAACTGTGGGACCTGAAGGCTCTCGGCGAGCACTGCAAGAAAGTCGGCCGCTACGAGTTCCTCTTGACAAGTATCCCATTGAACGTGCCCGGCGGAGTCGGCAGCCCACCGAACGCCCTCGCAATTTTCTAGGCCATTGACAGATGGCCCAAGCGTACTCTGGACCAGACTGAAAGAGGAAGAAGAAAAGAAGCAGGACCAATACAAGGGAGTGAAACAGACACAATTGAAGAGAGAGACTAAGGAACCCTGAACGGCCGGCTGGGTTGCCTAGACGCAGACGCAAGCGTGGCAGGCTGCTGCTCTCTCGGGCCTGAGAAGAGGAGAGGAAAGAAGGAGGAGGAGGAGGAGGAGACTTACATATGTCAGATATTCTGTGCCTACCTACCCACCTACATACCTATCTTCTGGACGCAACTACTGCTCTCTCCCTTTGTGTCTAACCCCCATTTGCGATTAATTCATTGCCCACCTCCGTCAGAACCTTGTACACCACTCCAACGTGTCGATGACGGTCTTAATATCTTCTTGGGTCCCTAGAGTAAATGATCCCGATTCGAACGTGCCCGTCCTCTGCACTCTCGACTCTAGACGTCTCACCACGAATGAGCAGCGTGTGTAGTGTTATGCTACGGTAGGACACAAGATTGATAGCTGTATCCGTATCTGTATCATACATACATATATACATACCTAGGTATACAGATGTAGTTCTCTGGTGCATGTCCTGTTCCGGTCTGAACGAGTCAGCTCGGCTATACTGTCTGGAACGCACTCTCGTTCTGACATCTCTCTTCGAAGGTATGAGGACGAGGCCAGGCGATGTTGTAGATCGGCTGCTTTCCAGTGATCCTCTGGTGTACAGTAAATACAACAAATTCGATTGACCCTCTCAGAACCCTTTTGTCTTTTCTGTTCTACATGCAGATTCAATATCACAAATGACCAGAGCGATCGAGTAAGCTCGCCGCATTTAAGCAATCACCCGTCTACTCAACTTTGCCAACTCACCCACCACGCCGCCTGCGCTCAAGCCTCTCATCTCACTCACCAAACCGTCTGTGATGCGTCGGTGCAAAAGCCCACTCTTTGCGAAATATTCCAGGTAACCCTTCGATTCCAGTTTATTCAAGCCTTTCAACTCTAGCAGATGCAAATCTCCACGGGTCGCTGGTCCAGAGAGAGCCAAAACTCGCGGGTCGGGTTTGCTGTAGGGCTTTGGCAGGGGGAAATCTGGGTGCGCGGGAGAGATAGAGTGCTCTTGGAAGGCCCGCATCTGAGAAAGAATGAGCTTGAAAGTCGGGCAGGCGGGAGCATTTGAGCCCGAGGTGCTGAAGAGAACCATGCCACCATTGATAAAAGGCGACGTATTTCCCGTGGTGCCTGTGAACAAGAGATTGACGAATTGCTTCACCAACATGAATCGGTGCGCATGCAGGATTTTGTGGTCGCTATCGCGGTATGCCGTGGGCCCCATCCAATGCTCAACGCCATCGGCAGCAAGCAAAACTGGTGGACGCTGGTCCTTTCCAGGCTCGGTAAGCTCTTTGTAGAAGGCTTGCCATGCCTGCCATGAGAGGTGGTGGTCACCTGCGCCCTTTTGAGCCAGATCCAGTAATGTGGAGTTGTTCTTGAGGGAGAGTGTCTTGGGATGAGCGTGGTTGAGTTTCAAAGACTTCAAGACCGATTCGTTCGAGGTGGCAACGCGGGTGAGCAGGAGTTGGGTTAGGTGTGGTTGGATGTACATATGTTCAGACTCGTCCTCGGCGTGTCGAAGTGGCGCGTATGAGGACGTGTTATTGACAAAGTCCTGGGCTGTAAAAGTCGAAAGTCAGTGATCTCGCCTATGAACACGGATGAACATGGAAATCTGCCTACCTTCTGGGACATTCAGCACGATCCAGTGATCCATATATGCCATGCTCATGGCCTGTAACAAGAGAACGCTTTTCCCACTAGCCTTCTCGCCAGTTATTAGATGTTTGACGACCTTTTTCTTCTCGCCCTCCTGCTTGACATCCTGCATTTCTTTCGCAATGCGAAGTGTCTCCTCTCGTATTAAAGTCGCTGGCCTGCGAAAGAGACTCCAGTTCTGGGTAGTCTTGAACGCCCCTGAATCCCTCAATTGATCCAACAGACCACCATCAAGCGCCAACATGTGTCCAACAAACTTCTCGTCGACCAAGTTCTCCTTACTCCATGTCTCTAAATCCGAGACGGGTAAGGCATTGGTGTTGGAGAGGACGATCCGACGACGTTGGGCTCGACGTTCGCCAACTGGAGGTAACTTGGGACGATCGCGGCTCTTTTTCTTCAGGCGTGCGGATTGGGATTGACGAGCTCTGGGAGGTCCGCTGCCGGATTGGGAGGTTTTCTTCTTCAGCAAAGGGGATTTATATTGTGCTGCTGAGCTGTGAAAGGACGTTGATTGAGTCCATGTCGCTGCGGTGATGGCGAGACTTTTGGGAGTTGTCGATGAGATCCGCAGCCGTGAAAGGCATTCTGTGCATATTGACAGCGACATTGTAAGCAAGAAGCCAACACGGTCTTCGCCGTGAGAGCAGTGCGGTAACAGCTGCTCAAAGAACTACCACATTTGGGTCGACAAATAGCTTAAAATCATGGCCGCAGGGAAAGATGCGCAATTGGTTGGCCTTTCCAAATACGGACTAGTGCAGTCTGGAGAGGCACGAGGATGCACTCAGCCTCGCCATGTCCGACCAAGCAGCGCAATCCGAACCTCTTGAAGAGCCTGGCAGCACTGTCTGACGAATAATGGGTCCATTTGGAGAAGGATTGCAACAACAAAACAAAATCCCCTGCGCACTTATACAGAGAAACTCCTGCAATATTTGATAGCATTTACTACGATCACTTCTCCAGGCTCTCCGTGTTGAAGCTGCATTGATAGTCCTATGAGTACAGCGTAGGTGATGATATACATACGTAAGCCACAGGCATTCAGAATCAACTGAATGATTAATGCGAGTGGCAGACTATCTGACTGATCTTGTTGTAGGTGGCAGGCCGTTTGCCAAGCCCTCAGAGAGGTTACCAGTTACAGACCTATTGCTAGCTGTTTTGGGACTAGCTGCCGAAGTCACACTTGGCACCCACCGCACCTCGAAAAATGCACTTTTTGGGATTATTTCGCATTGCCCACGCCCAGCTCTTCTGCACCTCACACATCGATCCTGCCATTATCACCTCCACCATTGCCCTCACGACGCTCTGAGGGCTCTTAAGCACACCTTCGAAAACCGCTGACCCTTAGCGAACGTCAAAATGGTCAAGAAACGAGCCTCCAAGTATGCCATCATCCCCCAGTGCCGTCCAATACATTTTCTGACTAGACCAGTGGTCGCAACAAGAAGGGCAGAGGCAGAGTCAAGCCCGTTCGGTGTTCCAACTGCTCTCGCTGCGTGCCCAAAGATAAAGCCATCAAGAGATTCACCATCCGTAACATGGTCGAATCGGCAGCAATCCGTATGTACTTCTTGTTGAGGATGGAAAGCCCCCTTCAAACCGGGAATGAGAAAACAATTGTGTGGACTGACGAGGAATTGGGATAGGTGATATTTCCGACGCGTCCGTGTTCGCCGACTACGCCGTCCCCAAGATGTACCTGAAGCTCCAGTACTGCGTGTCGTGCGCCATCCACGGCAAGATTGTGCGAGTCCGGTCGCGCATCGGCCGCCGAAACCGTGCCCCGCCCCCGCGAGTCCGATACAACAAGGACGGTAAGAAGGTCAACCCCCAGCAGGCCGCTAAGACCGCGCAGGCTTAAAGGGGTTCTCCTTCCGATTATTGATGCATGTGTGTCGGGGAGGTGACTGGGGTGGTTGGAGACGAGAATGAGGATCATCTGAAATATTGACGGGTGGTTCTCCTCGCGCGGAGCGGACAAAACAAGATTTCGTCTTGACGAGCTTTTCAGGACGAGAGTCGTATGGGGAGCCTTTGCGGAGAGTCGAGCGCTGGCCAGGGATTGCATGTGCAGCATCTGATGGACCCTCACCCTTTGTCTATGATTAGCAATGGCATATCAACGGCTACGGCGGTATCAATGGGAACCCTTTTTTCCACTGGTAGATGGAGGCTCGGAGCTTTACGAAAAATGGTGGAATGACAATCCAAAGAACAGACCTGTGAAAAAGGGAAAAGCATAAATGAGCTCTGGTCACAGTGTCAAAAAAATATTGCATCTTTTTGCAAACCAAACAAATACCCCAGGCTGGTCATATGCTGAAAAAATGGACGAAACTCCAAATCCTAGCCGTGAGACCGAATAACAGACCGTCCCGTGTGCCCCGACATCCAAGTTGTGGTGTCAATAAACCTCGTGCAGCCAACGTGACTTCCGCCCCGATGTGCACGATTTGACTCTTTTCCATTTTCACCACGAGAAGATCCGAGTCAGTCGCAGATAAGTGCATCGTCAGTTCAATCTGCACCCGTTGTAGTGCCAAAAGACTTCTGAGGGCAACGAATTGAGAGAATTACTCCAATTGCCCCGAAGTTCTTCGTTGGTGAACGTGGCCAATTCGCGCTGTAGAGCTAGGTGAAACGCATTGCACTGTACCAGCCGGGCCTGGGAGGGATGTGATGTGACTCCACGTTTCGTGTAGGGGTTCTTCCAAGTGAGGACAGATCGTGGGTTTCCGCCAGAATTCGAGTCAAGTTGCAACAACATTGGCGTCCAATTGCTGAGGTCAGAGTCATGGAAATGCTATCTCCTTTTTGACGCTGGGAGAAGCGTGTCATCAGGCAAGCCCCCTCTCTTCGTCCCTGGCAAGCTGCCCGTCCCAATGTCATTCGTTTCAGTGCTTACCCTCCTGTGTGGATACACCTCGTTCAGCCCTTCGAAGCAATTGTTGCTGACCCAGATCTTGCCTTTGTTCGGCCCATCATCGGTGTTTCTGAAATACTCGTGGTGGAGAGCTTGCTCGGCCGTCAAGCGTAGGTCGGGATCGTACTCGAACAACTCCGACAAGAGCTGGAACCCGCGTTGGCCAGGAGACTTGTCTGGAGGGTAGCTCGCGTGCCGGATGCAGTTGTTATACCACGACTCCAGACCGCTGCCGTTGTTACCACCAGAACCGCGGTTCAGAGACGTAGGGGGGTTCGGATATAAGCCTCCTGGCATTCCGCCACGCGACACGATCAGTGACTGCAGCTGCGGATATTCCGGCATGTCCACCAAGCCCTTCCAGTTTTCTCGTCGAGGCATGCCCAGGATTTCCACAATCTTGCCCATCTGGTTTCTCTGGAACGGTACCGTCTTCTTGCTATCCATCTTTGTTTCTTCTCCCTTGAAGATTGGCCTGAGGCTTAGGAGTTCAGCGAAGATACATCCGACAGCCCAGAGGTCGATGGACGGCGTGTAATGACGTGCACCCAGAAGCAGGTCGGGGCTACGGTACCATATGGTAACCACGACCTTGTCCCCGGAATATAGTGACGAGAGAGGTTTGTGGAAGAGTCGGGCAAGTCCCAAGTCTCCGATGCGCACATGTCCAGAGCTGGTGACCATGATGTTGGCAGGTTTCAAATCACGATGAATCACCCAGTTCTGGTGGAGATAGTACAAGCCATTGAGGAGCTGAAATAGGATCGACTTGATCATGGTAGCGGGGATGGGTCGCCTGGTCGGCTGGGTATGATGGTGAATGATTTGGAGAAGATCATGCTCGCAGTATTCGAAAACCATAAAGACACACTTGTCCTCGAGGATGATCTCGGCCAGATGAACCACGTTTGGATGAGATAACTCGGTGCACAACGACATCTCCCGAATAGCAGATTGAGACAATCCTGTATACTGGACATTGTCTCCTTCCTTCTCCGGTTTGAATCTGTTTGTGGGTCAGAGTAGACCTTGCTTAAAGGAAAATCTTGTGACGTTACTTTTTGATGGCATATAGTTCCTTTGGCGGAGATGTCCCTGAAGGACTGGTCGAATCACTTTTTGGATTCTTCTCTACAGCTTTGTATACTCGACCATAGGTGCCGCTGCTAATGAAACCGATGATAGTATACTTGTGGCCGATTTTAACCTTCGCTGTATAGTTGTTGCCCGGTATTTTCTTGTCATGGCCCCGGCCAGAATCTAGCGGTTTATATCAGCTTGCTCCGTTTGCACTGCTCAGCCAATGAAGATAAGGGGTCGAAAGGGAAGAACACTAAGAAGGAGAATATACCATCTAAAGCCAACTGAGTGGACTTTCGGAGTTGTTGGGCAATGTTCAGACTCGTGCCTGAGCGGGACATGCCAGGAATCGACATTTCGTCCAAGCCCCCCAAGTACGAGCTCGGGTGTTTTGTGCTTTGAACAGACGTCCAATCTAGCACGAACGGAACGATGTTGCCGACATCATCGAACGGGCAGCATTCATCTGCCTCGCCAACAACCCCGGTGAGGCTGTCTCTCACAACGTGGAATAGGCAGCCTCCGCCCGATTCCGCCGATCAAGGATGGCCCAAAGTCGAGTGGCAACCAAGGAGTCTTGTGGATCAGCAAACAAATCGCCTTTCTTGTAATTAGGCCGCGGGATGGGAATTTGTTAGAAAATAGTTGATAGTCAGATGCACATTAAATCGAAAAGCATAAAATCCCATGGAGGCGAAAGGATCGACATTGACGGCGATGGAGGCGAGGTTTGAAGACGGCGACGGCAAGCCTTGCGGAGAGGCAACAGGAGGTGTTGTTGGTACGAAGCCTGTCGATTTGATGTACGACTTGGCATTGTGAGTGCTGACCAATAGGATGTGGTGAGGCCACGGCACGGCTGCACTTTGCCCCGTTCGCCTGCCTGCGCCTACCTGCGCTGGCCTGCGCTGGCTTGACTTAGTCATTTCCTTGTCGTCTACGGCGTCCAATCCCATCGTCCTCTCCTGCTATGCTTTCATCGGAGGGCGCCGCTTCCTTCTCAATCAACCATGGGGAATCTAAACAATCTGTCTGCCTGTGCGCAGCTAATCTGCATCATTACGCAACAATCTACATCATTGGGCTCCAGTATCGTTCCCCTGTTATCGCGTCACTTGCGTGTTTAGGTCCATATAGTAAAAGAGGGAGGTCTTCCTGAGAGCATTCTGGGTTGGTATGCTATCACCAACTGTCTTCCTCAACATGGGACGAACTGCGCTGACGAAGACCAGCAGTGGCTATGGGCTCTACACGCAGGTCAATCTCTCACCGGGTCTGCCCCCGAAGGGCCTGATGGCAACTCCAAAGCCGAAAGGTTTCACCCTGTTGCTCATCTCCACTGTCTACGTGGTCACCCTTGGTCCTCTCCTCTTTGGCTACCACTTGGTGAGTATTGCCGGGCCACAACCTGTGATGGGGAGACATGACTGACAAACACCAGGGAGAACTCAATGCCCCTCAGAAGGTCATTACCTGCCAAGTCGACCAACTCCCCGGCTATGTAGCCCTCGGACTTCCTCAATGCATTCCCATGAACGACTTCCAATGGGGTATGGTGCAGTCCATGTTTACCGTCGGTGGTCTCTTCGGAGCGCTCTTCAGCGGTGCCGTCGCGACAAAGTTCGGTCGATTGTTTGCGTTGAGGTGGGCAACCTTTTTCCTGGCTGGTGGACCTGTTGCTGAAGCACTGGCGGGTAAACTATGGCTGCTGGCCCTGGGTCGTGCGCTCTCTGGATTGGGAGCCGGTGCAGCCACTGTCGTGTCTCCCATCTATATCTCGGAAGTGGCGCCCCCAAAGCGCCGTGGCCTCTTCGGAGCCTTCACTCAGGTCCAGATCAATTCTGGCATCGTTGTCGCCCAACTCCTCGGCTATTTCTTGTCCAAGTCCAACAAATGGCGCTGGGTGCTGGCCACGGGCGGTTTCATTGCCGGCCTCATGTTTGTGGGCCTCTTTTTCACGCCAGAGACTCCCAAATGGCTTGCGGCAAACAATCGACCGCGAATGGCCCGAGGAATCCTGCAGCGCCTCAGAGGGAAAACGGCGGATATTCGAGAGGAGATGGAGGGCTGGGACATGTCAGGAGAAGCAGAAGAGGAAAGTCTCCTTGCGTCTCCGAGAGGTGCGCGGCCACTCAAAGAAGCAGCCCGATCTATCATTGCTGTCGTCAAAATGCCCAAGTATCGACGACCCTTGATCGCCGTAACGGGCACCATGATTGCTCAACAACTCTGTGGCATCAACAGCGTCGTCATGTACAGCGTCGCCATTCTGGGCAAGGTCATGCCCAAGCACGCTGGCCTCGTCACGGTCATTGTCTCAAGTGTAAATGTGGTGGTGACAATCTTGGCAGCGCCCTTGCCTGACAAAATTGGCCGAAAACCCTGCCTCCTGATTTCGATTATAGGGATGGGTGCGGCATCAGGGATGTTGTACGCCGGGCTCGCAAAGCACATTCAAGCCCTCACGATCGTTGCCGTTGCACTATTCGTGGCCAGTTTTGGTGTCGGGCTTGGACCGATTCCGTTCATCTTAGCAAGCGAACTTGTCGGACCTGAAGCCGTTGGGGCTGTTTCTAGCTGGGCACTTGCGGCCAACTGGCTATCAACATTCTTGGTGGCCATGTTCTTCCCTGTCTTGAACAAGGTCCTTACGCACAACGTGTGGTGGATTTTCGTGGGTGTTGCTGTTTTTTGGGCTATATTTGTGGTTGTGTTTGTGCCCGAAAGCAAAGGCAAGGCCAATGCGGAGGAGGTGTGGCGGAAAGGTCGCTGGTGCTGATCGAGGCTGAACACAGTGTGATTGTTGGTGCGATTCCTAAATGGTTTGGACGAGGGATTGTGAAGCAAGGCCGAAGATA